GAAGGAGAGAGAGAGAGAGAGAGCGCGAGCGAGAGAGAGAGAGAGAGAAAGAGAGAACTGAGCAACAACAAACAAGAGAAAGAGAGAGAGAGAGAGACACACAGAGCAAGAGAGAGGTTTCGGAGAAGCTCGAGTCGCCCGCGCGCCGCCTGACAAAGAGTTGTGCGGAGAGCGCAGGTAGACATCTGGGCAGTAGGCGTCCTCTTGTACGAGCTGCTGACGGGGAAGTCGCCCTGGGAGGAGCTCCAGCGGGACCTCCTCCCTCCTCTCTCCCTTCCTTCCCCTCTGGCTCCTCTGGCCAATGCACCCAGGAAGGCTGTGCTACGGGAAGGTTGCAGCACCGCTCCACGATCCAATGTTGGCAATGAAAGGGAGGGGGTCACAACCCTCCCTGACGAGCATTTTTAGACCCCCCACAAAAAACAGCCATGACAGGGAGACCTTTTGTCCAAGCCACCCCACCCCCCGCTTTAGTATGATATTCAGAGTATCCGACACTGCAGGGTGGGCCCTTTCTGTAAACTTCTGTGCGCTTCAGCTTTGGGTCCAGTTCCAGCAGCGGGTGCACTGTAAAGCTCCTTCGGGCCAGCTCCCCCCAGCGGGCTTCCCGCTCGCACGGGTGCCTCCGTCCCTCCATCCCTCCGCCGCCCCTCCTCGTCCTTCCGCCGTCCCCCATCCGGGCGGCCAGGCGGCGCCGCTCCTGTATTACCAGCCTCGAACGTATCCCTATCTCTAAGATTGACACGCCAAAAGGCGATGACAATCTTAGGGATCCGCCCTCCAAAAATAAGGGAACCCCTAAGAGTGGCATCGTGATGAGGAGGTGCCCAGCATAGGGTTAGGGATATGTTCCAGGCTGGTAGCTCTGGCCGTCAACAAGGTGCCGGTTGCAGCACAAAGCCCCCTCCCGTGTCGCGGCAGGGTCGCCGGGCTCGCGGCCCCCTGCTGAAAGAAGCCCGCGCCCGAGGGCTTTGCATGCCTCCTCGCCGGGGGGACTCCATCCATTCATCCATCCTTCCTCCTCCCCCTCCTCCCTCCTCCCCCCCTCCCTTCCCCCCCCCCCTCCCTCCCTCCGTGTGTAGGGGGGCTCCCAAGTTGTGGCCGATCACACCGCATGTATGCCCCGATTCAGTCTGAGAGCATGAGTAGGTTAGCTCCCCAACCATTGCGTGATATTGATCAACGTGGAGACGGTGACCGGGCCGGCTGTCGGTGAACTCCCGGAGGCCCCTCGGGGGCGCTCAAGGTCACTGGCTGGCTCCGTGATGCCATGCCGTTTTTTTTTCCTTGGCTCCGTGGACCGATGGCGCCCCGGGCGACCCGCGGGACCATTTTGAGTGATTGGTTTTGCTTCCCATCCAGCGGGGATTTGGGTTGCAAAGGGCTGCGCAGCTGGATATAGGACTCAGCATCTGTGCAGCAAAGAAGGCGCAGACACGCGCGCGCCTCACAGGGGAATGCGAGCGACACTACGCTGGCAGGAGCCTGGGGGTGTAGACGGCCACTCAAGTGCGGGGCGAAGCCACGCCTGCATGCGAGTGGCTCCCAGTTGGAATGTCTGCCGACGTGGCTCACGTGAGAGGTGGAAGAACCATCTCTGCCCTCCCTGCCCCCCCTTCGCATGGTGGCCCGAGGCGGCCGCAGATCCCGCGGAGGCCGCAGCCTGGCTTCCATCATCCACTCTTGGGAACGCCGGCTGGCCGAAGCAGCCGGCTATCTTGTCCTGGGCGGCCCTCGGGGTGAGGCCGAGGCCCCAGTGGGGCCCGCTGTGGCTTCTTCCGGCATCCAGGGCAGATATGCTGGCCTACCTCACCGCCGTCGCCGAGAGCGACCCCGACTGCGACATAGAGAGTGAGTTGACTGGGTAAGGGGGTTCCGACGATTTCGAGTGTAGTTCGATCGATTTCGACATCATGGACCCCTTCGGGAACATACCTGCGTACTCCCTCGTGGGTGGCACTCTGGAGTTGGGTACAAGGATTATGAACCCAAACCAGCACTACCCTGGCGCCCTCTATCCTACTCCGTCCTCTTCGAGTACGGCGACACCATGAACTTGTTCATCGGGTATGGCTGGTGGTGGTGGCCGTGGCACGCGGGTGATTCAGACATGCAGGCCTTGCAGCGACATTTTGACGGGGCCGTTCATGACGTGCGGCAGTTGTGTTGCAGCTGTGCACGCCCATGGCACCACGCGGCGCATTGGCCAAGTGGTGTACACGCCGTGCGCCCAATGGCTGGGCTTCAAAATCCAGAGCCACAGCCTTCAGTCGAGGCTCCACTTGGCGAGCGTGGTCCTCGGCAGGATCATGGGGGCGAGCGGGCAATTCGCTGGTCAGGCGACTGGCGCTGTTGCCATTGGAGCAGTCGGAGGAGCTGGTCGACTGGTGTCTGGCTGCGCGAGCGGCGCAGTCCCAGCCTTTCAACGCATGCGTGCGGTAGAGATGCCGCCCGCGACCCCAGCAGGCCCGACGCGGCCAAGCCAGCTGGATGAATACGACATCTCTGATGCAGGCAGCGGAGCTACCTCCGCCCAGGACTCCGACATGAAACAAATGCTCGTCGAAGCTCGCGCGATGAAGGCCGAGATGGCCAAGCTGCACGCCGAGAACGAACGTCTTCGTGCTGCTGGCTCGAGCGCGGGTCAGGATGGTGGGTGCGCGACGCCGACTCAGGACATCGAGCCCCTGGCTGCGGATGCAACCTGTGATGGCGCTCAGCATGACGAGAACGTCCACCGCACCATCGAGGGAGAGTACGACATGGATTGGTCTGCTCATGAGCCTCCAGTTGCGGACCAGTCGGGCGAGGTGAAGGACACCAGACCAGCTTGCGCAGTGGAGTCTAGCGCAGGGAGAGGCGACCCCCCGATCACGACGACGGCGAATCAGATCGAGCCGATGGGGACCCACGAGATGGTGAACCCTCCTGGGCTTGTCGCTTGTCCTTCAGCCAGTGGGACCACTGGCGACTGGGGCCTTCATCGGACAGCCTGTGCATCGTGCTGGTTCTCCTCGAGCGGATGCTGGAGGACTTCTGGTTGGCCCCCTAGGGTGAACCTCGGACTTCAGGCGTCCCTGGTGGACCCAGAGGTGCGGTGGGAGGAGCAGGGCCGGGGTGCCGCATGGCCAGGGGCATGGCAGAGGAGGACCTGGAGGCTTCGGAGGGGGACTCAGTGGACCTGGAGGTTTCGGAGTGAGGACCTGGGGGATATGATGGAGGCGGACCTGGACGACCAGGTGGGCGAGGGTGAGTTGGCCCAGGCGGCTTCGGATTTGACCCGGCTCTCTCGGAGGACGTGGAGGAGGTAGGCCTCCGCCGCTGCCGCCGCCCGCTGGAGAGATGGCCGCAGCTGGTGTCGCCGGGGACGGCGGCGCTCATCGCGACGTCACGCTCGAGACCACCCTCGCGAAGCTGAAGGCCGCTGACTTGGCCCCCCCTGGTCTGGAAGGGGCCTCTGGCAGGAGAGCCTGGCGTGCTTGAGAATTGGGCGCAGCGGCTTACGCTCGATCCGGGCGGCATGAGCCACCCGATCGAGCGCTACTGGCGGCGGGCCCTCTTCCACGTGAGCGAGGCGCATGAGTTCCATCTTCGCCATGGGCCGCAGGATCGCCCAACAATCAAGCCCGCTCAACCTTAGGACTTCGTCGTGTACGTGCAGGACAGCGTGGACTTCCACTCCTGCGAGCTTCGGCTCCGTGGCTCCCCGTTGGCACTGATGCCAAACAGCGTCAAGGAGTGCTGCCTCAGCACCCGCCGGACGAGCACGACCGACATCTCGTTCGCTGCATTTGTAGACGCCGGCCCAGGGACAGGGCCAGACAAAAACACGCGCCCTCGACTCGGTGAGCAGGGGCAGGGCAGTGGGCTGCAAGCAGCGCTACCAGGAGCTACAGGCACCGAAGTTCGCGGCCACGAGGCCGGCGACGTTTGGCGTTGCCGCCCCCGACGCCTCGCCCCGAAGGCGATCGCCTCCAAGCTGGTTGAGCACGCTCAGGAGTTAAGCATCGCTAGTACGGCTTTCTCGTGACACGCGGCCTGTTTGGTGGAGTGGCGAACCAGGCTCAGGCAGACGAGTTTGGGCTTTTTCTCAGCGCAAGGGTTACCAAAGGGTGTCAGTTCGAAGGGAGGAGGCCCCAAGGGAACCGCCAAGGGCCAGCCTAATGCAAAGGCCAAGGCGAAGGCTGATGCTGGTAAGAACGGGCATCAACACGACGTGAAGGTCTTCATCCTCTTCAGCATGCCTGGAGGCTGCAGCAAGGGCAAGCAGTGCACGCGGCGCCACCCGAAGCTCAGCCCGGCCGACGGCCGTTGCTTCAACTGCGTCTCCTCGCGCCACAAGGGTGCAGAATGCGGGTGCAGATGCGCTCGCTGCCGACGCTGAGCTTGCGGCTGCTTCGACTGCCCCTGTTGCGCTGGGGCCTGAGGCTGCAGCTGCTCCCGTGGCTTCGGCACATGCGGAGACGGCGGTGGCCGCCATGGCGGCTGCAGACATTCGCGCCGATTTCCGCAACGAGTTCTTCGACCTGATGCAGATGAGCGAGCAATCGCACTACGCCAGCAATGTTGCCAGGGTGCCAGAGGTTGGACACCCACCGCGACCCTTTTCTGATTTGGCTTTCTGCACCCCCAATGGCCCCGCAGCGAACGTGGCCAGGATCTCCCAGACAGCCGCCTCGAAGGCCTACGTATTGAATGGGAACAAATAGTTGTTGGCGGACACGGGCGCGACCCACGAGTTGAGTGGCATCGCATCGTTTGACTTGCTCCCAGACTGCGCTCGCGTTGTCAACCTGGAGACAGGCGCGCATGGTCGGCGACGCTGTCTACGTTTTCGGCGAGCACCTGCAGGGCCTCTTCCCCCTCGGCGCGTACATCGAGGATCTCGGCCTCCATCTCGAGTGGAACGCCGACCACTGCGCGGCGACGATCCCAGGTCGACGCGAAATACAGTCGGTGAACGTTGGGCGCCAGTTGTGCCAAATTTCCCAAGCGAGCGTCGCGACCATGGTGGCCATGCCGCGGTAGATGGCTGAACTCGAGGGGCACAAGCGTGGAGACCATATTTCCTTCAATGCCTTCTGCCCGCAGTGCCGCGGTGCAGCCACCAGCCGTCTGCGGCAGCATTTTCGGCGTGATGTGTCGGGATGGCCAGGTGGGCAGCTCTCGATCGACACGTCGGGGCCTCACCCCCCTGGCCGATGGCCGTCGGGCCGCCCCGAGAATGTCCCCCGGCACGCCGTCCATTTCTTGTTAGGCGCCTTCTCCGTGAAGACGAAGGCCGAGATGGCGGCGATGAGAGGTCGTGAGTGCGAAACTCGCGGAGATGCTCGAGTCGCTGTTGGTGGAGGTAGAGGTGGCGACCGCGACCCCGGTGGCGTTACAGTGGGCGCTGCAGGCGTTGATCCCGCGTCACCTCAGCATTTAGGCGCGGATCTGGCCCTCGAGACCGCCATCGTCGATGAGTCTCCCGAGGCAGGTCGTGCTGCGACCCCGCAGGCACGGCAGCTGGCTTCGCTAGTGGCCCGAGCGTTCGAGGTAGACGACCTGGCGCCTGCGGGTGGGGCATCCTGGGTTGGCCTTTGCTGCGAGGCCCACTGAGGTCGGCGACCAGGAGGAGCAGATGGCCCCGGGAGACTTGGAGGTCGAGGATGGGCCGACCGACATGCGCGAGGAGCCGACCTCGGTGGCCAAGACGTGGTATTATGTGGTACCCCCGGGGAATCGCAACGCTGAGACCGCGAACAATGGCCTCGAGCCTATCCTGACAACCACGATGGATCCACGATGGGCCAAGATGGTTCAAGATGGGCACTCATCTGTGCGGCACCTTCTGCTAGGCAAGGCCCCTCCCCAAGATGATTCAGACAAACAATCCTTGGTGCTGGACGTGCCCCACGTGCTGTGTAGCACCCTTTGTTAGGCAAGGGCCCTTCCCAAGTTGATTTTAAAAGTAATATTTGGTGCTAGGCGTGCCCCATCTGTTGCGCGGCGCCTTCTGCTCGGCAAGACCCCAAGTTGATTAAGAAAGAACCTTGGTGCTAGATGTGCCCCTTTGCTGTGTGGCACCCTCTCCAAGGTGACCCCCTTTGCTGTGCGGCACCTTCTGCTAAGCAAGACCTCTCCCCAAGTTGATTAAAACAGAATGCCTGATGCTAGGCGCGCCTCTCTGCTCTGCGGGGCCGTGCTACGCAATGCCATTCGCGAAGTTGATTCAAACAAGAATCCTTGGTGTTAGACATGCCCCTTTGCTGCGCGGCACCATCTGATAAGCAAGACCCCTCCCCAAGTTGGCTAAAACAGAATTCTTGGTGCCAGGCGTGCCCCATCTGTTGTGCGGCACCATCTGCTCGGCAAGACCCTTCCCCAAGTTGATTAAGAAAGAATCCTTGGTGCTAGATGTGCCCCTTTGCTGTGCGGCACCCTCCCCGAAGTGAGCCCGTTTGCTGTGCGGTGCCTTCTGCTAGGCAAGACCCCTCCCCAAGTGAATCAACACATGATCCCTGGTGCTAGACATGCCCTTCTGCTGTGCGGGCTCTATGCTAGGCGAGACCCCTTGCCAAGTGGATTTACAAACAATCCTTGGTGCTAGACGCGCCCCTTTGCCGTGCGGCACCCTCTGATAGGCAAGCGCCTCCCCAAGTTTATCAAAACAGAATCATTGGTGCTAGGCGTGCCCTACCTGCTGCGCGGCATCTTTGGCTAGGCAAGACCCCTCACTAAGTTGATCAAACAAAGAATCCGAAGAGGCCCCAAAACGTTCCCCAGGAGGCTTCCATACTGCTTCCGAGCTTCACCGGGCGTCAGGGGAATAGAGGCTTCAAGCCAAAAGGAGGCTTCACGTGCTTCGCCGTGCGTCAGGGGACAGGAGGCTTCAGGCCGAAAGGAGGCTTCACGCACTTCGGCGGGCGTCAGGGAAATAGAGGCTTCAGGCCGAATAGAGGCGTCACGACCTTCACCGGTCTTCAGGGGAATATGTGCTCGAGGCCGAATAGAGGCTTCACGAGCTTCAATGGGCGTCGGGGGAATAGAGGCTTCAGGCCGAATAGAGGCTCCACGAGCTTCAATGGGCGTCAGGGGAATAGAGGCTCGAGGCCGAACAGAGGCTTCACGAGCTTCAATGAGCGTCAGCGGAATAGAGGCTCCAGGCCGCGTAGAGGCTTCACGAGCTTCAATGGCCGTCAGGGGAATAGAGGCTTCAGGCCGAATAGAGGCTCCACGAGCGTCAATGGGCGTCAGGGGAATAGAAGCTCGAGGCCGAATAGGGGCTCCACGAGCTTCAATGGGCGTCAGCGGGATATAGTCTTCAGGCCGAATAGAGGCCTCACGAGCTTCAGTGTGCGTCAGCGGGATATAGTCTTCAGGCCGAATAGAGGCCTCACGAGCTTCAGTGGGCGTCAGGGGAAAAGAGGCTTCAGGCCGAATGGAGGCCTCACGAGCTTCAGTGGGCGCCAGGGGAATAGAGGCTTCAGGCCGGATAGAGGCGTCTAGGGCCGCCACCCCACAAGTGCGTCGCAATCCGTAGGCCGAGTAGAGGCGTCACGGGCCGAATGCAGGTTTCAGGCCGAATAGAGGCTTCAGGCCGAATAGATGCCTCACGAGCTTCAGTGGGCGACAGCGGAATCGAGGCTTCAGGCCCAATGGAGGCGTCACGAGCTTCACCAAACGTCATCGGAATAGAAGCGTCACCCCAGCTCTTTGGGCGAATAGAGTCTTCAAATAGCGTATTCGGCGCCGGCTCGAACGGGGCACTCCCCGAACCAGGCCCTGGTATACATATATAGATATGTATATATATATGCTTACACACAGTTTTAACCATATGTTTGTTTACACACGTGTTCCTCTCCCTGTGTCTCCGTGCCTGTCTCTACCCCATCCTTTCTCTTTGTGAACATATGAATGTGTCTCACCCGCCGTCGTTCTCTGTGAACATATGTATGTGCCTTCGTGTGGTTTGTATGTGTACTTGTGTTTTCTGTGTCTCTCTCTCTCTCTCTTTCTCTCCCTCTCTCTCGGTGTCTCTGTCTCTGTTTCTTTCTCTTCACCCTCTCTCTCTGTTCCTCTGCGTGGCTCCCTATCTCTCTATTGTCCGTCTCTCTCTCTCTCTCCTGTTCACTGTGTATACATATGCCTACATGTAGACCTCTTCCCCAAGAGACGCCAATGTCCACGGCCACAGCCCGATGGCAGAAGGCCACTGTACACTCTCTATCCCTCGATCCCCCCCCCTCTGCATGCTTCCCCCCTTCCTTTGCAGACGGCGTGTCGTCGTCTCTTCTGTTGCCGTCGCCGAAATGGTGCTCGTGATCGTTACACTTGACGTGCTAAGTCAGATCGCTCTATCGTGAGGGTTCGTGCTATTGCTCAGTCGCGGGATGCAGGCACAACGCAGAGAAAGAGAGAGAGAGAGAGAGAACGAGAGGGAGAGAGGGAGAGGAAGAGAGAGAGGGAAAGGGAGAAGGAGAGAAACAGAGAGAGAGGGAGCAGACACACACGAGAGAGACGCGCAGCACGTGAAGCTGGCAGCGGGCAGCCCAAAGGCCGACCTCCTTCCATCGATTACAGAGGTGGCACCCCACCTGGCGATCGAAGATAATCGTTGTTCGCTGTGAGGTGGGAGTGAGAGTTGGGGGAGATGTTGCAGGAAGTGGAACGCAGCGCTGGCCACGGGGTGAGGTGCCTCAGCGCTGCGACGGGGCGGATGCTCGCGGGAAGTTCGACGGAGAAACCTCGAGCCATACGTCAGCGCCTGTACCGCTTGCGCCGCGTGCGGGGGGGAGCCGACCTGGAGTGTCGACCTCAGCGCAGCCTGGCGTCTTGACGTCCTCCTGTTTGATCTTTGAAGCGGTTGGAGTGTGACCCCCGTGTTAGGCGACCACCTCTACGCATTCATCCGAGTGAGGGGGCCGAACGGTCATTCACTCTCCCTGGACGCGTGGCTGAAGTGAGGTTCCGCGATGCGGTTTTGTTGTTTTTGTTGTTGCGTTGTTTGTTATGTGATGTCGCGACCCACCCGCGACCTACCCCGCGACCCACCCGCGACCCACCCACATTGCATTGACGAAAACATCGGCGCCTGCGGCGGGCTCGTTGTGCAATTTGTAAGAATTGGGCGCCGGCGGCGGGCGTCTTCAGAGCCGCGCCGACTGCCAACGTCCCCGCCGCCCCCATTGCTCTCATCCGCAGCTGCGGGGCGCTACGTGTTTCAAGTGCGCGGCCAGATGTAGAGTATAGAAGTTAAGAGAAGTTCGGGCCAGTACAGGGCTCGTTTCGATTCCTCCGATTCGATTCGATTCCGATGGCCTCCGACTCCGATTCGACTCGACTTGGGATTCCAATTTGGGGTCCGATTCATCCATGAAGGCCTACTGGCCTGCCGATCTCCGCCGACTCGACTTCTCCCGACTCGGCTGCCGATTTCCGCCGATCGGATTCGTTTCGACCGCCGATTCGACTTGTCGATTCGACTCTGGGCTCCCCCTGGCCAGTACGATGCGAGGGCGGGAGGCCGACAACCAGATGAATTCGCTGATGCGGATCACCAAGTGCGACCTGCAGATCCCGCCGGAGATCTCCGAGCCCGCGGGCGACCTGATCAGGCCAGCACCCCGCCGTCGCCTTGGGGTGCCAGTTGTCGGCGGCAAACGGGGGGGGGGGGACATGAGAAGGAGAAGGCCTTCTCAGAAGCCCTCGGGCTTTCTGGGAAGCTTTCTGCGTCTTGGTGGAAGGCTTGGGAAACTTATCGGAAGGCCGGGGGACTTTCGAGCCTCCTGAGAGGGCCCGCCCTGCTTCTCACTCTCCCCCGGGCTGGCCGCCGAACCTCTCAGTCTCTCAGGCCTCAGGCGGACCTCATCCTCGCCCTGCGCTTCCTCTCCCTTCCACCTCACCCTCTAGAAGCCCAGCACTGCTCCATCCCATCTGGCCTCCTTTGGTCCGCAGCTCCAGGTTGAAGTGCGTCATGGCACGGGGTCTTCCGTGCGAGGCCCCCAGGGCAGCATCAAGATGGCCTCCTGGCAGGCCCGCACCGCTTCTGGAAGTACACGAGTGCCCCCTCTCCCCCGAACGCTGGCATACATTTGTTTCACCATTGCCCCCCATTCACCAATTTCAGGGCCCCCCCCTGAACCACTGCAGTTTCCTGCCGTGCTCGGCGCCCTGGATGCGGGCCCGGGCCGCCTCGACATAGTCTCGAGGGGGGCGTTCGCATGTGGGCGTCCTGCGCGTACCACCCCTGTGACTCGGTTGAGGTCGGCAAGGTTGAGGGGCCTTCACCCTCCGCCTTTTTCATTCAGGCCCACGGCTGGTTGCACCCCTTCGCTTCGCGTCGCCTCCCCCTCTGTCTGTCTGTCTCTCTCCCTCTGTCTCTCTTTGTGTTCCTTTCTCTCTCCCTGTCTCTCTATATGTCTCTCACATTTACAATGCTTGAATACAGCTCTCCCATTTCCAGCGAACACGACCCGAGAGTGGAACGACCCAATCCGCGCATGTCTTTTTACACACAAGGTTTCAAACATTGATCTGTCCTATGTGCTTTTCCGTCGGAACGTGATCTGCGTCTCGGAACGTGATCTGCGTCTCAAGACGGTGTTTCCGCTGCAGCGATTGCTTTGCGTCCATCGTTCAAGAAGGCGCCCTCGCCCCCGTGCGGACCACTTTTCCGGATCCGAGCGCTTCC